AAAAAAAAAAAAAAAAAAAAAAAAGAAAAGCCATTCAGAGCACTGTGACTTGCCGCCGTTTTTGTCGGACTCTGTTAGCGTTTCGCCTTTTTTTGTGATGTTTCACTGTTTTAGCGTGTTATATTTTCAGTGAAAGAAGCAAATTTTTAACTTGGCGTCAAAAACCAAATGAAACTGAAATGACGAACTCTAGGATTGGCCACATACAGTAAATAACTCGATCGTTCGAATTGAAGTAGTGTTGATGGTGTTGTTACTTGGCAAAAAGTAAGGAATTTAAGATTCGACGACCAGGGAGTACGACCGCGCGTTTTCCTCAGAGAGGCATGGCAAGTTGGTGTGAGCACGCTCATTTTCACCAGCCTTACCGTCGTCCTTTGCGACGCTAGGTATAGAGTCAGGTTACGCAGGCTATCTACTAGCCTTCTCTACGGATAATATTTTCTTTTCTTTCAATCTTTACTTTCCTTTTAGATGAGTACTTTAGACTTGTATTCAGTTTAAGAAGCATGTGAGTCCATTTTGCTATGACCTGTTTTATTAGGCGGTCGGTTAGGTGGGGCGCAGGGCGAAAAAGGTCCAACGAAAAAACAGGGTAGATGTTGGGCGCGGAAAAGCTCCTCGCACCAAGCCTCTATCTCCTTTAGTTTTCGCTTGCCCCTTTTTTTTAGCGCGCTGTCCCCTTTTAACTGAAAGCCTGAAACAGGCCAATTTTGGTAAGCAGAAACTACTTTCGTTTACTAAATTTTCCAAGTCTCTAGATTGTCGCGACAAGAACTATACCTCAAATAACGTTTCGCGCCAAAAGTCCGCGTTCGACCCAACTCCTTTCAGCTTATTCAGTTTCAGATATCACCGCACCAAAAATTACGACTTTAAAAAATATTGAGGTTGCAGTGAAAATTTGGACCAATGCGTAACTCAAAATTGAGGTCGTTGCCGATTTGGAATGAGAAGTTGTCAGTAGTAACTCATTAATGAAACACTACCAGAGAGTATTCTGCTATTTTTCATTTGACAGCGTGGATGAAGGTCTGAAACTCACTTGTCAGTTGAAATTTGGACAGTCCTCATTGAGTCCTTCGATAACAGCAACATAACTTGGTGGTATAAACATCGTGGTTTTAACATAGCTAGAAAAACGACGAAAATACAACGAAGACTTTACAAACGCTATTTTATTATCGATTATTTTTGCGCAAGTCGCATCATATTTTGTCAACGTTATTAGCTTATTAACATTCCTAAAATCTCAAATTTATTCAATGACTTCTTCAAAGTCAGTCTTATTTGCTGCTTGTTAAAGATTATCACAAATTTCTGTCGAGTTCTCTATATTACTTTCCTGGTCGTTCGACCAATCAGAATTCAGGTTAGTAGATACTGCAACATTACGATAAAAATGTGCACACATGGTTCTTAGGTTTTCTCTCCAAGAAGCTTAAAAAGCCAAAAAAGTTTTCGGAAAGTTGCTATAGCAACATTATGATAGGTAACACAGATAGTATATTTATTGGAATACAATACTGTCTGGAAAGTATCTTTTTAACATCAGCAGCCTACAAAATTACATAATCTATATAAAATATACAAATTCCTAATGATAACTTTCCACTACTACAATAATTTCATTCAAATTCTGCGGATTTATCTACAATTTATTGTTCTAAATAGCTACCAAACAGAAACATAACGGCCTGTAGCTTTTTAACTAAATAAAAGTTGAGTGTTTATAGCAATTTTCAAACCTTCGGGAGCGGAAAAATTTGATAGTCGGTTCAACGACGGCAGCCGACGACAAATTGATTGAGGCGGATGGTTACGAACGCACTTCACGTAAAATGTCGTGAGACACTCGGATATTCTCGGTTACAAGCGTCTACATCATAATTGCCACCGGTTAGTGCGGTTTGCACTTTTACGTTGACGAAACTATGAATACAAAATCTGTGATATGTATGATATGTATGAATACATATCATATATAGTGATGTCAAATTAAATTCTTCAAAATGAAAGGCTGCTCTTCCACGAAAACAGGCCACCAAATACTACTAAAAGTAAGCCTGAAAATAAGAAAAATTTACAACCAGAAAGGCTGCATTAAATAACAAAACTATAATCGTACTATTTTTAAAGGAGAAACGAGACATCTTGAAATGTGAAGCCTAAGATTTTCCGAGCCTGTTTGAACAAATCCAAAATGGCGTCTGCTCACGCCGGTGGCGACCAGGGCGGGATTTTTCTTTCACAAGGACATGCACACTCACGTCATGACATTTTTCTCAAATTTACAGACAATAATTTTCTATCATTCCGAACGCATAAATCTATATATAAAGAAAGTCAACTTCCAGGAGCAACTTTGTTCAATTTTGATAGACATTACAAAATTGAGTTTTTCACACTAAGAGTTTATCCTTTTACAGTCGTTCAAGGTTAGAACCACCTCGAACAGCTTAATAAACAGTATCACATGAAAGTACTGCTCAATAGCTTTCATTTGAATGGTCACACACTAGGGTTTACCAAGGTTTGCTTATTCAAATCAAAACCACATTAACTGACTTAAGGACTGACCCTGGGAGACAAAGGGGAAACTTAAGTCAGCAATGTTGCTAGCCGCCTACGCGGCGAAATTCCGACAACTATAACAACTGTATTGAAGCCATTTGTTATATTGTCACCAAAAGCTGATACGAAATTAGTGTGCTCTAATTATCAAATTGATTAGGACAGCAGAACTAGCGCTATAATCTATCAAAATCAATTGTCTACGAAAACACTGGGAATATCTAGTAGATCACAGCTCATAGCCGAGAAAATATGGTCAATACTAACCCATGAGTGGTGAAATAGCGAGAATATCTGCCGTTTCTTTTGACAGGCCAACGGGAAAGATTTACAAAGGCAGGTTTAGCTGGTTATCCGAAAAGAAACAGATCTAATTAGAATGCTTGATAAATCGAGAGTGGGTTATGCCAAAACAGTGAGATTGCTAGCTCTCGGNGAGAAGGAAAATGCGTGTAAAAAGCTGTTCACGTGATCTGCGTTACAGGATTGGCTATTTATAGACTCTCTTGAAACTTTTGAAACCAGGAGTGATCTAAAAATAGCTCGACAGATATTACCTTGGGACTGAAGTGTATATTGAGGATGAACTCTCTGATCCTTTATCTCTTGGTAAACGTTCTGTTGTCCATTGACAAGGTACTGGGAGGCGAAGGAGTTAGCATAAGATAACTTCGTTCCCAGGGTCTCTCATCTTCCAGTCCCCTGGAGCGAGAGAGGGCGGCAAGATGAGAGAACCTGGGTATTAGAAAGTAGTCTTGGGTACAGTCAACTTTCCGCTAACGGACACTCTCGTAAGCGAACGACTTTTCTTATACTTACAGACCCTTTTTTCAATTCGCCGTTTTACCTCTCAATCAGACTCTGTTTTTACACACTCCTGTTAGCGGACATTCCCTCGTAAACGGACGCGGACACTTTTGAAAACAAACATTGGAGTTTTCTTCTGTTTACGCTCGGTTTACGCTCTCTCGTAACCAGACAAGCAAACCTTCTCTGGTCACGATATACCTCGCAGAGGTCCACGTAGTATTAATGAGAAGTTTTTAAGAAGCACCAAAGTTACATTTATGGAGGGCAGCAATAAGCCTCGTTTAACTTTTTGTTGAATATAGAGGAGTTATACTGCATATATTTCTTTTCTCTCTCTCTCTCTTTTTTTTCAGTTTTACCATTTGACATCAATAGAGAGTTTCATTTGCTATATCTGGCTACGCAATAAAACAGGTAATTAACACCAGCTAATGAACTCTCCCGTAAGCGGACAACCACCCTATTTTTCTTTGACTTCTTTGGCGTTCGCTTATGAGAATTATTCTCGTGAACGGACAGCTCTACTTACGGACACTTTTTCCCGAGGGTGTCCGCCTACGAGAGAGTTGACTATTCCGCTTTTCGAAGTGGTGGGGAGTGCGAAGATATTCCTCTCTTCCCCCCTCCCCTTAGGAGAACTTGACGTCCAGGTTAATTTGAAATTAAAGTCATACAACCATCATGCATAGCAAGCCGCTCTTTTAGGAGAAACGAAGAATCAGGATATTTCTTTTTCAGTGAAAGTCAAACTAACTAAATAATTAAATTAAAACAGTTACTTGCTGTATTCTTTTATTTAGCTTGTTTCTCAAATGTATATCTATTGCTAATGAAGGTTAAATTGTGTCGAAACATCAATTCCTTCCTTTTTCCATGCGTCTAACATCTTCATGTGCTACTCATTTCCAGGACGTCCTGTTTATCAGAAAATGTCCCTGCAATTGATGAGGAAGAAGCAGGAAAAAAATGTTAGTTCTTATAATGGTAGTGGTTTATCCCTGTTGCTAGATCGAAGTTCCACTGTTTCAGTGCAACGGAAGCTGGGCGAGAGTATAAATTGTCCTATTAATGTTTTTAATTTCCTTTGCGATAAAAAAATGTGAACGTTTATGCAGCAATGTCAAACAACCACCACCCATGATACCTTCCTGGCATTATCACGTGCGCCCTTACGATTCTAGAAGACTTTTCTCGAAACAGCCGTATACTGCAAGATAACATGCGCTTATGCTATGCGTGTTTTCTTTTCCTAATATGATAACATGACGTCATAATAAAACTGAATTAAGCCTTTATCGGAGACAGGTGGTTTACAAGCCAGTGTTTTGAAAACATTCTGATTTTCATACCACTCACCCATTCAGCGTTTCTGGGTTGCCAGCCATGCCAAGCTTTCCATCAACTCACTCAGTAATTGGTAGGTTTTGGCCTCACGTTTCTTTTGGCGCAAAGTCATTGCAGCATGTTTTTTCTTGGACTGGCCTAGGAATAAATTGCATCATTAAAAAAATGTAACAAATCAGCGGGATTGCTTCAGGTTCTATTTTCTTGAATTAGTTAAAGACATATGCGATCTGTTACGTCTAACCAATGACAACAAACGTGTTGTTTTATCAGCCAATCAGATATTCCAGACCTACAGCCCTCGCTTCAAAGCAAACTTTTACAACGAACTCTAATTGATCGGTTACAGATTCTGGGAGGGTTGTGATTGGTTTATTCATAATCACACCCTTTCAACGTCACTAACCCCTCTTGGTTTCCAGTTTCTTCATTAACTCTGCGGCATTCGTTTTCAGTTCATCTATGACGCTGTTGCTTTTCTGGTCTTCTTCATTTGTTATTGCCGCATAGAAGTCGTTGAGAACTTCCTTGACACGTTCTGTGGGGAAGAAAAATAAAAAAAACTTTAAAAACAATCACTGTATGTTTCAAGCACAAAATAAAATGCTGCACCGTGTTTGCTCTAAGTAAAAATGCTCGGCAGTTTTAGGTAAATACACCATAAAATTATAAATTTGACGCTCACGCCAAACATCACTCAAGACAGTCGAGAGAGGAAGTGGTTTTACACCAGCAGTTTGTTTGCTCTACACATAGAAGAATTTCAAAACAGCAAAGTTTGACACTAGTTACAAGTTCCACTAATTCCTGGATGATCAGCTGTTGCTTTCTGATGATTTTCTACTTAGTGATGTGTCATCAGTCTTTCAACATCTGTACCTTTGTATTCCGTCGCAGACAATTGGCCTTCCAGTTCGTTGTCCACAATATATTCCATCTATGAAAACAACAGAAAAGAAATAATCAACTATTGGAACCCCTTCTTTGTAACTAACTGTCTGTTTGCGCTTGGTGATGAACTCCTCTTTTCTCGTAACCTCTTCGCATTGCTATATTCAAATTCTGTTAAGAGAAATTCGTACCTCGTCAAGTAGGGCACGGACGGCTTCGATGTAATACTTGACATCGCTGAAATTTCAAACAATAACAGTAAGACACATAAGTACAGTAAAACTGCAAGTTAAAAGCGGCACAAATAATCGAAATAAAGAGCAATATATAGGGAAAGATTACAAAAGAGAACGTTCACTTAATAAATTCCAGCTTTCACCAATGTTACACCGTAAATTTTTATAGCTCTCTCAATATCTCTCACGTGTAATCCATCAAATATTTACGCTCGCGCGCGATTGGTCATGTGACTTAATGTTCCCCAGCTAAAACTGGGGAATATCCGAGTGATATTCCCCAATTTTCAAAACTGCACGTGTTGCGAAAAATATTTGAAGGATAATAAACACAATGGCCACCATTTGGCGGGAAAACATGCTCGAATATTTGTCCTTGGACATTATCTGTTCCTCAAAGCTCACAGTTTTCCTCGAACTACGCTCTCTTAAAGCTGTTCGGTTCTCGTAACAGACAATATCCGCGGACTAATATGTCTAATATCTGAGCATATTTTCTTGCCAAATGGAGGCTTTTCTTCTGTGTACCAGGCAACTGTAATTTGTTTCCTGACAAAGTACGTAAGGGTTAAGTGCTTGAGTCCAAAATAACTTCGGCTTATTTGAAGCAATTTAACGTTCTCTCGGATAACATAATTACCTTACGGTATTTACGACGAAAAAACGTGTTGCACAGAATTTTGTTATATTTCTCAAGGAAATTATTCAAAGTGATATTTAGTCATGGAGACAAAAAAGTAAGTCAGTACCAGGTAAATATTTTCTCATTATGGATTTTGCGGATTTATCATTCACTCAAATCTCGTTAACATGATAACCAACGAACAACATGCTTTTATCAACCCCCTCCACTGCCCGCTTCTCTCTCCTTCGCCTCTCTTAATGGTAAAAGATAAGTTATGATAGCAAGATACCTCTGAGGATCCGGTCCGGGCGTGGCAAGTTTTGGTTCACCTGCGGAATAGACCCTGCATGGTCAGAAACTGGTTTTTGACAAGTTCCAGTATCTTAAATCTCAAATTTGAAATTAGCAGAGCCTTTAATATCTCTTTTTTGACGGAAAGAGGCTCTTCACAAATCTGCTTTGGCCTTTGAAGTCACCATAGCCCCAAATCTTGGACCAGTCATTCCGGTTTACAGTCGTCAAACTGGTTTTTCAAGAGCGAGCAATAATTTTTACGAAAAATCGATGGTCGCAACTGAACCCACTAGATGCAAAGAAAACATGGTGGCGAAAGGAGATCGTTCGAAAACGTTTGACAATGCTCTGCTTCGCGTTGTTGTACCGTCAGAAACCGCTCTGCTTCCAGGATGAAATCTGATAGAAATTCAACGTAAAAAATTCATAATATCGCTATGATCGCTAAACAAAACTGAAAGGACCCCTCTATTTAGGGGAGGGAATATTTCCAATTCCCCTGTTAATATGGCTGTCCCTTTATTTCTGCCATGCTTTAGGAATTTCGTAATGTACTGCACCACGTGCAAAGCTGTATACAGCATTTCCTTGAAAAAGCGGATGCAGTAGATCGCAAACCAAAATAAAAGTTTTACTTTTTTGAGTTGGTTGTTAATTTGAAACTTCCCCATTCTGACCTCTTTTCTGGAGACACTTCTCCTGGGCCTGAGAGCGTCCCCTGAATGGAGGTTCCACTGAACTCCGGGCACCGTACAAGCTATTAATTATTTTTAATATAATTAACTCAGTGCATATTTGTAACAGCAATAGTACAAACAACAACCTTCTCCTGGCCCATTGCACCGGTCAGTTTGGCAACAGGTTACGTCACATTGCAGCAGTTTTCCACCAGCTTTAACCACAGATTGGTTTATTAATTCACAGATGTAAGTTTCATTGCAGCCGGGTGACTCAGCTATGGAGCAGTTCTTCACAGTTTGATTATAATCCATGCCAGCGACCTCTTCCGTGATCTTTACTGTGACGCAAGAATCGAAGTAGGATGCACACTGGATCGCAGGGCTGCCTTCACAGGGGACCTTTGATCCTGGATAATCTCCGCATGCGTAACACAGAATGCTGGAAGCTGTTGGGAGATTGGCGAGGAAACCACCTACAAACCACAAGCCCTGAACGACAAAAGATTCAAGATTACAGAATGAGGTATTATCTAAAAAAGTCCCCTGTATTCTATATTTAATCTTCCATGTTACTTGACCAACAATCACTGGCCATTTTGGATTTGTTCTTGAGGAAGACCCGGGCAGGAAAATTACACGATTATCGTAACTTTGTAACGCCATCGTTTTCGAAAAGCTCCTTTTTCAAAATGTTTTCTGTTCCCGCTAAAACGCAAAGCCGGCGTTTTCAAATTCCTCCGGTTTGAAAAGCGTTTTCGAAAAGCTCCGTTTTCGTAACAGATTAGTGTGGACGGTAGGCCTAACCGTAGAAATAAAGCGGCGTTTTCAAATGTCTCCGGCGTATTGTGGACGGGGTTTGAATGAGGGTCCTGAAGGGGTAAAATGAATCGAGTTGGCCTGTTTTTGTCCTGGGAAAAAGGGATTTATGTCAATGGGACTGGAATTTGGCCGTGGAATGGGAAAAATAATGTCAAAAATAGGAATGAAATATATGTTTTGTAACCATGATGGGTTGACACATGTGTATCTTACTGATTCGGGGTCAGGTTCTATCAAGGTCATTAACAGACGAATGAAAGGAATGGCCGAATAATGACTGCGTGTAAGCGATTTTGACATTCATTCAATCCACTTGCAGAACCTCGTCATACCATCAACCAAGGAAGTAGTAGTAACTATATTAGTCATGGCTTTAATTCTTATGATAATATCTTTTCCATTCTAGTNCAAGGGTCCCAGCACAGAACCCTGTGGTACCCCGTAGGGTAACTTCTTCTTTGACGATTCAATCAAATATAGCCAGCGTATTGAAGTATCACTCTGATTTCAATTCCAGCCGGACTACTTAGACGTAAAACTGTTTCGCTGTTTTATGTTGCCTGAATAAACCTCGCGGCACATTGTTCACCACATAAAGCGGTGTTTTATTTACCATTTTGCAAAATATAATTCTTGACTATGCCAAGCAACCGTGTTTAAACATCTGTCTAAATATACACTTACATAAACCTGATGCAAATATAATGAAATATAAGCTTAAGCTAAGTCATTTTACATTGCTGTAAATCAAAAGTCAGAATACTCGGCTAATCGGCCGTGTGACAGAAATACTTTTCAACAATCAAAATACCGCACAAAGAAGAAAGTAAATTACTTCCGAACTTTAAGATTCAAGAGACTGACCCACTGGTTTCACTTCGATTCCGTACATGTTTTACATGTGCTAGCCGGCAAAAAGTTTGAGCTCCATTCGACTGCCGAATTTCTTTGTGAACGAAAGTCTTCTATATTTTGGAGGCGGCAGAAATAATGTAGCATTCTTCATCGGCAAAATGCCACACCAAACCCCGGTAAAGCGGGTAGTTTTTAGCGACTGCTCGAGGTTTCGAAACCCACAAAGCTTGCCACAGCAACAATCAGAACCCTCTACCACCCCTCCCGCCCAGCAGACACTTTTACCGCCCAGATTCTTGGTGGTCACGTGTCCAGCCGCAACCAGGGGCTTTCTTCCAACGACCAAGGAAGGCAGAGAAGAGAGAGCCTGGGAACGAGGTTGGTCCGTCTGTCCGTTCGCTCGCTCGTTAGCTCTCTCGTTCGCCCTCTCCCGCAGTCTGTGCTCGAAATAACACTGGCATCTAGCGCGAAGTTACGACTAAAAAAGTGGGAATTCAGCTTAGGTTTTTGTAGCAATATTTGATTCAAAGACTCACAGTATGTTCGATAGGGAGAAAGAGGACCAAAACAAAAATAAATAAGAGGAAAGAAACGAAAAAAACGCTTTCTTGCCAAAGGGTAGTCGAGTAGGGCTGAGAATGTTCCAGCTTGAAACTACATTTACACTGTACATCAATCTAGATGTCTTGATCATAGTCTTATGTGAATGACTGAAAGAATGAATGTCAAGTGTCAATAGCATTTAGCTGAAAAAACCTAACTGGGGACACTAGTAAATAAATAAGTAAATGAAACATACGAACTTAGTAAGATAACAAAGCTTAAAAGATATCAAATATATTTAAAATGTAAAATGATATAAAACAAAGGCTCGAAAATATCATACAGGCGAGCGCACGTCGGCCCTAACCTGTTCTAATTGTTTTTTGTTTACCTGTATTGCCAACAACTCCTCATCACTTTGTAGATGACGGACGGTACATTCGGAGGACATTCCAGTCTGTAATTTTCCTCAATTTTCTCCAGAATTAACTGTCCGTTGAGACCCTGCGATAAGGAAAATTAAAGGTACAGATATACTCCGGAAAGCACCTCGGATGTACCTCTTTTATGTACCTAAGCCGCCTTGAAAACATTTCGTAAGCCCGCGAACACTCGCGAAATGTTTCTCATAAGAATTAATTTAGGGTTGTTCGAAAGCCGGTTAACGCTCACCCAGGATCAAATGTTAACTGAAGCAATAATTTTACTTCAATAAAAAAATATATATATTTCAACTGCCTAGTTTTTGTGAAGTTTGAGATTATTCAAACTCAAAACTGAAGGACAAACCATGTAAACAGAAAACCTCACCGAAAAGTTACAAAAATGGAATCAAAATACCTGGGTTAGCTTTAATCGGGTTTTGAACAACCCGGCTCGTTTATACCAAGGAGAAAAAAGCGACCGAAAATCCAGACTTTGAACCTTATTGCTTGAATCGAACCTCTTTTCCTCGAAAGAGTAACTACAAAAGACGAAAAAGTCACACACCCGGGGACCAATACCTAGCGCGCGTGACATAAGGGCTTGTGTGACATTACCTCATAAGGTTTCTTGCCATATGACGTGGCTTCCCATAACGTGACACCGTAACTCCACACGTCACTCTTGCTGCTAAACTTCCGGTAGTAAATACACTCGGGAGCGTACCACTTTAGAGGCCACTTTCCTGCCTTGCCAGCCTGCAACGGCAAGACAAATCCAACAATTTAAAATCTTACCCACGATTTGGACAAGTTCGAACGTGATAAACCCAAAATTAATGGTCTGGTTTGATTTCGTAGCGCCACAAAACACAAGAACTTCATGTTATCACGAAGTCAGGATGGTTTAGCGATTACGAGAATTCAAATACATGTAGATTACAATGCGGACAAACGTAAAAAGGTAAACATTATATATTCACGTTTCAGCTGAATTACTTTGATCAATGATTCAAGATGATGAATTAGCGTATGACAGGTTTTGTTCATAATTTGAGGAAAACACAACCCATTTTAAACAAATCCATACTCGTAAGCCTCCGTTTCGCGAAATATTATTCGTATTTCATGTATGGTCAAACCTTTCTGCGGTGATCAGCAACCAGTTTCTCATAAATATATCCTAACATAATCAAGCATACTAGTCATGAGAATCACATGAATGATCACTTAAGGAAGCTAGGCTTGACTTGACAGGATAGCAAATTCTTCGTACAGGTTCAAAAAGAAATATAAGAAATCAAGTAAGGAGAATTTGACTTCCGACATACCTTATAGTAGTCACTTCCAGCCCCCATGGCACGTGACATTCCAAAGTCACTGATTTTGACAAAGTCCTCATTTACAACTAAGATATTTCTGGCGGCAAGATCCCTGTGTACAAACTGCATGTTTTCAAGATACTGCATTCCCTGTGCAACAGAAGTGAAAACATCAGCTAAAGTAGAATTCTTCGAAGGCAACCACTCTTTTTGGCCAAGTTCAGATAAGGTCGCTTACAAGACGATTCACTTAAATTCAGACTGATACCGTGTATTGAAACAATATTCGGTCACTGAAGAAATACGTTCTTTACCTCGGCAACTTGCAACATAATGATAAAAATCTTGAACATTGGTAGAGACCTGCAAAAGGAAAAAAAGACGGAAGAAGAATCAGCGAACAGATTAGGTATATCTGAGTTACTGACCAAGCTTGCTAGGGTAAAATGGGTGGATATTGGCCAAGTTCTGGTTTTGCGTCTTTAGGGACCAAGATGGAGTCGAGGTCCATAAACACGCAATTATAAAAAAATGATAAAGAATCCTATATGGATTTTTATTTTCTTGCGGGACACAGCGGGTGATCCCGAACGGGCAAGATAGCGCCATCTTGTTCACTTGGGTAGCCAATCACAGCATAGAAATCAGTTCATCTAGCCCGTACACGGAGCTAGGCATATTATAAATCGGAAAATTGACTGAATCTATCATGACATACAGTGTAGTTCATTTAAAAGAGAATCAGAGTAGTTGACAGTAGAATAGAGTTGTTTGACAAGCAGATGGTGTAAAAGTTGGCATACTCTGACTGTAAGCTGTTTTGAGCAACGAAGGTCAATAAAACTTTCTGGTTATGAAAGGAAAAAACAACTCCTCGTCCACGGCAACTATCCCACAACACTCCGCATCTCTCTCTTTTTTCTCTCGTTCATTGAGGACACTTACACTGCGACTGAGCAAACTTTGAACATATTTAGAGCCCTGTACTTCAGACATGAACACATGCAGCCACCCAAATTGATACAAAGTAGTCAGATGTGTCAGCCAGGAGAGAACTATTGGAGGCTGTTTTCTTTCTTACAGCTTCTAATGAATTAGAAAACTTTGATGGGATGACTAAAACCAACATGCTAAAACCAGCGCTTGCTTGTCGCCAAACAGGACCTGTTACCTTTGAAAGTTAGGGTTTGGCACTATACATATGTGCAGTATTCAGTAGGAGGCACGGTAGCTCATGGTTAGTGCGCTTGACTCTGGATCGAGGAGTCTGGGTTCGAGCCCTGGCCGGGGACATTGTGTTGTGTTCTTGGGCAAGACACTTTACTCTCACAGTCACGAGTGCCTCTCTCCACCCAGGTGTATAAATGGGTACCAGCGAACTTAATGCTGGGGGTAACCTTGTGACGGACTAGCATCCCATCCAGGGGGAATTGGGATATTGGGATAAGCTCTGGCCTGGTGGGCCCCTTATACATGTAAAATACTTAAACGCATTGTAAAAGCTTACTTGTGTTTCTTGAGGTATTTGTGGAGAGGCCCTTCTGGAGCAAGTTCCATAACTAACATCACAACGGGATCTTGGCAAATTCCTATTACAGAAATTTAATCCAAAAATCATTAGTTGTATACATGTACATGTATATTTAATAAAACCTTGCCATGTCCCTCTTTGTCAATCTGTCCAGCACTGACCCCAGGTCTTCCTGCACATCTAATTTTTTAGATGCTGCACAAGTGACCTTTCTCTCGTCTCTCACTCCACATTTCGCACAAAAGCGTTCAGACCTTTAGTCCAATTCTGGTCCTCTCTCTGTCACGCAATGTTATGCTCTCACGCAACACTATGTTCTCCTGGGCCAGAACTGGCCTTTCATACCTTTCTATACCCAGTTAACCCAACTGTTTAGGTTCCAAGTCCATTTATTTTAAGTATATGTTTCTACGGTGCTGTATTCGTTTACATGTACACAATCAACAACACAACATTACCACATTGAGAGTACATGTACATCATGTATGTCACTGAGTATCACTTCAGAATAAGTACAAAAAGAATATACAATGCATAGCAGCATTGTCGTACATGTACCTATTATCCTGACGATATTGGGATGGTCCAACTTCATCATAACTTCAGCTTCATGGAAAATTTCAGACTGGAAAAACAAAGAAAACAAACAAAGAAAACAAGAGCTGATTCTCAAATATATAAATGCATAATGCCTCATTTGTATTAACAAAGAAATTTATGAATATATTAACCATCTTTTAAAATAAAATTACTACAAATAAAATTCCCTGTTACAGATGCATGCACAGATGCAAGCACATATTTGTAGTAACTTTAACCCTATTCTGTTAAATGAAATGTTGGACGTTTATATAGTGGCTACAACTAGCTAGTTTTCAGGCATGCCACTTCAACTGAGAGAAACAAATATTGCAAATACCGGTAAACATAACAGGCTTAAAAATCCCAACTGGCAGGAGGCAGACCAGTTGGCTATTTACAAGCGTGACCAAGGAGTTGAACTGGTGGTCAGGGCGGGACTTGAACCTGCAACCTTTGGATTTCAAGTTCAGTGACCTAACCACTCAGCCACACTACCTGCAAATGACTGATGTAATACCTTTGCTGCAGCCTACTGTTGACATGTACCTTTGGATTATTCATTTCTTCAGATTTAAGTTTCTTGACAGCTACTGGAATCTTTTCCCCATTCCCCTTGGTGTATTCTCCCTTGAGAACAGAACCAAAGTTGCCATGACCTGTACAAGAAAAACAAAATCCAAAAACTTTGTTCAATTCCAACTGAATAAAAGGTAGAAAAGCATTTATAATCAGATGATCAAAAATGGGGATAATTTTTTTTAAAAAGAATCTTACATGTATTTTTGGCCATCATTGGTGACCTCCCTGCGAGAATTACACTTCATTAATTAAAATTACGCCTAGTTTCTTCTGTGATCTACACTGTATGTGTTACTGTGACTACTGGAGATATCATATCCTTTTGATCAACACTTCCACACAAACTGCTGACCTCGAGGGTGGGAGACATGAGTGGTATGGAAAGGTCAAGGGGATACTAGTTCCTCATTTTTGTTGTGAAAAATGCACTGCCTGAAGAACTTGGAAGACCTGCTTAAACAAATCATATTTTCATAATTTTTAATCTTTTCCCTCACCTTCCACGACATTTTTATGCAGAAAGTACTTAAAATTATTACCCTCAGTGTTTAAAACATACCCAGTTCTTGTTCCAGTTTCAAATTTTCACTCCTCAGTTTTCGGGTTTGAACATCTTTGAACTGATTGAAGTAAAAAGAGCTTTTCTTCATTTTGACGCTGTCATAAATGGACTCGAATGTTGCACCCCTGGAAGCACTTGCACCTGATGAAGAACCATTAGTCAAAGTCATATTTTTACAGAAAGAAATGGCAAAACAGTGAAGATTCTTAACATGCGCCAGGACATTACACAGCTTTCACGATAAAAACATACTGTGAATGAAAGAATGTAATGTTGTCTCTCAAAATGGGAGATTTGGTAGCCTTGCAGACCATATAGGTACTGATTGTCAGTTATGAATTTGTAAATGTACACTGTATGTGTAGTTAGGGTGGGTTTCAACTGAGTGTATTTGTGTTTCAGTTGGTTTTGTACTTAATATATGGTTTCAGATTGGAATAAAACACTTGAATGTGCTACTTCTTCAACCAATCAGAGGTCCCCATAGTTTTTATTCATATTAATTTACCTTTTGTTTAGTTTTTTCCTTCGATTTGCCAGACCAGCCACCAACTACATAGACTTGCTACAAGTCGACCTCATGAGTTTCAGGGTAGAATATGTTAGGCCACAAAGCGGCCGTCTTTAAGGTCGCAAAGTGGCCGAGCGAGCAACAAAGTCGCAAGAGGTTGACTTGTCTCCCTTGAAGGGTTTTCGTTTGCGTTTTGTGCCAAAAATGAGGAGTGGCGTGACTTGCAACTGGTGTCTCAGATTACATTTGGAAGTCGTTAGCTTGAATGGCAGAAAGTATCAGTTCCACTCCGACCAAAATAATCGAACGTGTGTGCGTTTCTCCTACATTGAAAGAGCAAATTTGTTTACTCTGTACTAAAGTGATTACGAACAAAGATTTTAAATGAAAATTGAGGATATCCAGTGGCCAAAAAGAGACCAAATCTTGTTTGAATTTTGAATTGAATTGTGCTGAAATTGCACAGACAAAAACAAAACCACAAACCACTACTGAATTCCACTACTGCAGCTGAAGTTAAATAAACTTGACCTAGTTTAAAATTAGAGATAAATGAAAACAAGGCAACACTCATTATTTAGCTATACAACGACTTTCGTCGATGAAGACGCATTTTAAATGCTTTTCAGTCAAAGAAAAATGTGGTGATATTTGTTGAGAATCACCTACAGTTGTCTCCTACATAGGAAGCTGGAATTCCACAGGAATTTAGGTTAGGGACCTGATCTTTCATCAGGGAAATAAGTGGAACCACCACCAAGATGATGGAGTTGCTATTCGCTTGATCTCCATTCAAACAATCAAACGCATACGGAGCTAGCTCGAAAGTCAAACTTTTCCCGGCTCCGGTTGGAGACATGCTTCCACTGTTTTCTTCTGGTAGTCACGCAATACATGATATCCATTGGCCTTTGAAGCTTCTTTAGCTTTCGTAATCAACCCCATATTGAAGTTAACCACAAGTCATGTTTTGTTGAGCAAAGTTTGACAATTTGGTCCCCAAGGGATATCCAGGGGACCTCTGACTGGTTGAAGCGCAGCGACCCGTTTTTCGGTCGCTAACATTGGCGGCAATCAAGCAGGAAAAGTCCTTCGTCCGGCGGGTACTGAATAAACAAGACGAAGGACTTTTCAGAAAGTCTACCAACTACAGTGTACATTGTAGATGAGCTTCTTTAAATAGTTATTCTGGGGAAATTTAACTGCTATAATAGGTCTTGTATACCTATAATTTATTTACTTTCTTATTTTTTGTAACCACATGTACAGTAACATGTGTTGCTGTTGTTGCTGTAGTTGCCATATTTACAATACAATACAGTATGTAACATATTCACAATGAACATCAAATGGAAGCTGAGGATTCATAGCAAGTAGGACTCGAAAAAAAAAAAAGTGGATTCCAGCTTGCTCTTGGGACAAGTAGCTCTCGAATTTCACTTGCCCTGGACAAGTCTTCCTTTCTCCTTTCAATGACTTAGTTGGCAAATGACTAATTGCCTGATCCCTTGCCCATTGGGCAAGCTAAGCGGGAGTGAAAATTTACTTACAAGTCCAGAAGGTAAACCCTTGCCCTGGACAACCGGATGGCACTCTTTACTAGCCATGAGCAAGATAATCAACTTTCATCTACCTGTTGCTGAATGTCCACCCGTGGCGCCAGCAGTCGCAGGAGTTGGGCTTGGCAGTGGGGGCGGACCCCTCCCTGGACTGACAGGTGAGTGTGGGATGGGTCTTGGAGGTAGGCGTGGGGGGCCTGACATTCTGTTTGAAGCTGTAGAAGAAAAACCAGGAATTGGTGGAGGTGGATTTCTTGGTGGAGAACTGGGAACTAGCAAGAAATGAATAACCACATGTATTATTACAGTAAGTTACTGCAGCAGCTACTAGCTGACATAAAACATAATAAACCTGCTGGAAAAAGAAATTGAATGGGAGAAAATGAAATGGGATTAAGATATCAAGACTGTGAAAACATTGTTACTATTGTAAATTGATTTTTTTGGGGGGGGGGAAGGGGGTGGAGATGGGCATTACTGGAATTGTCTGATGTATAACAGTGCATTCTGAAATAAGGCCATTCAAGTTTATTGGTACTCTAACTTGGTATTGGACTGGAAAGTTAACACTTAAACAGTCATGTACACTGTGCAAGTCATGTAGATTACAATGGAGGCCACACAGGGGGATATCATTAAAAAGAGATTAATTAATAATGCCATTTGCATTTGAAAGGACTTCCTGAATCAGCCTCTGCCAGTTGCAAGCTAGTTCCATTCCAATACAAAGAATATGGAAATGGTCTTTTCACACACTTTATACCAAGTTGCACCTACCTCCATGTAGTATGTCTGGAACACTGGCAGTGGCGGCCCCTTGCAGGAATGGGTTTGAGGCAAATGGATTGGTCTCATTAAATGACCTACTTGGTGGTCTATTTGTAGCAGCAGTTCTTAAATCTTGATCAACAACACTGCGAGGGCGAGTTCCAACAGATGTCCTTCTCAGCTTTCCTTCAAACAATTCAACATTACATGGGTCTCGCAGCTTACATAGGAGGCCATCCTCTCTCTGGGTATAATGGTCAACAGCCAACATCAGGTTGTCAAACTTAGGACCAGATTTGATTGACAACCTTTGATTATGGTCGACATCAAACAAATAGTGAACCACAGAGCCTTCATGGCAGAGACCAAGTACAAAGCCAGGGTCTTTTTCACGTATAAGGAACATTCCATTCTGACAACCTAACACGTTAAGCCTCCTTTCAGCTTCTTCACGTGAAATTCCTGTGTGAAACCAGACTTGATTCTTGTGCAGAACAGAGCCTATAGCACTCTCCAGCTTGGCTCTCATTAGAGTTGCTGTGCTTTCATCTCCATCCTAACATAGTATAGTAAACAATCTTGTAATACTTGGGTGTACACTTACATGTACATACATGTCTATTCCAAACTATCAGTTAATCAATCAATGAAGCAATCAATCAATCAATCAATCAATCAATCAATCAATCAATCAATCAGTCAGTCGGTCATTCGGTCGGTCGGTCGGTCGGTCGGTCGGTCGGTCGGTCGGTCTGTCAGTCGGTCAGTCAGCCAGCCAGCCAGCCAGTCAGTCAATACCTCTTAGTCTATTTGTTTATTAGAGTCTGAACTACATGTACCTGTACATATTATCAACCAATCAACAGGCCTTCTGATATTACGCGATGGTGCAATTTGGCACAGTCAAATCACATCCAATCGCACAATTCATGAAAAATTGTATAATTCAGGAAAAATTACACAATTTTAAACAAGATAAACCATTAGTTAATGCTTTATCTGGAAAAATATTACATCTACACATCGTTTCAAGATGATTTACCTTTGAAAAAGCCTTGAAAACCTTCTACAAACTTCAATTTCAAAAACAACTGAACTTCAAGGCATTTCTTAGATGTCCGAGGACTTGTACTAGTTTTCATTCTCAAAGAATTGCCTATTGGTGCAATACAAACAATGCCTTCCTGTGCTTGGGCCAATCAGAAGTGCTGGTATTATCAACAACTATGTTCCAAGCGAACTGTTTATTTTGATGGCAAAAAGTTACTTCTTTTGTGGAATTCGAAACAAACTAATTCCCTCGTGGATAAATTTAATGGGGCTAAATGTAATTCAGGCAAAGTTTGAGTCAAGCCAATGCTGGTAAGTGGTCTCTCAGGGCGATCAGATATGCTCAGTGGGGTCTCATATGGGGTTTTTCAAGGCTTAGTATACATGTATGTGTTTTGCTTGCCAGCTGTGTGAGAACACGCAGTTTGCCATTCTTGGCTGTTGAGTGCTTTTGCTCCCTCACCTCCCTCCCTTTCACTTGTGACAGTAAGTAAATGCGGTGGTAAGTATCTCCACTGACTCTGTCAGTGTGATGGTGCCTAGTGGTTACTGCTCTCAGGGTTGCCATGGATACCTGCATGCTTTACTCGAGGCTCATATATCGGCTCCACCACCCCTAAGGCACCTTTCCCAAGCTCATCAATTGGCGATGAGTTTAACAAGTAGTGAAAAAGCCTGCCGTTTCTTCCACTGAAAATACAAAATAACACCTTCTTGCAAATTTTAACTGAGAAAAATAGAGCAAAAAAATACTCCTTTCATGTGAATGTAGGATGAAGATGCAACCTACCAACCTTGTGATCGATCATCTTTGGAAGTCTGTGGTGGACAAGCACCTTGAGTCTTTTTTGTATCGCAATTTATGCATACATACATGTAGATAATTAATTTTTGTTCCTTTACATTCCATTTGTCTTTGGGGCAGCTGAAAAGTGGTTTTTGTGTTTTGAAACATACATGTAGTTAAATATGCCTAAAATAGCATAATAGCCCATTTTTATCGCATAATCCGCCACAGCAATTTTTTCGTAATTTCTGTTTTTTACTGTATCCTATTCAGAAGGCCTGAATCAACCAATTGAGCAATCAACCAAACAACCAGGTAATGAACTGATGAAATGTTCAAACTGGCTGACTTACTAATCATTCAGCCAATCAATTGATTATCAAATAAACTAACCTGTAGGCCCATAGATGTCATTGCTGCAACAGCTGCATCCTTTATGTGCTCTTGATTGGTACCAGAAAATGTTCTAGGTGGTACCCCAGGAAGACGATTACAAGGGTCGGCAAGCTTTGTCAACAGTCCATCAAGAGCATGTTGATGATGATACACAAGTTCAACTGGTCCCGGGAATTTCTTTCCATCTTCGATAGCCACCATACCATCAGCATGTCGCTGAATGTGATAATGAATAATCTTGCCATTATGACACATGGAAAGAGCGTAGCTTCCTGCTGATGCAGTGCTTTCACGCAACAGAAATAACCCATTGCTTTTTCCATTTCGTGCCAGAAGCTCTTCAGCTTCTATACGGCTTATGCGCCCATGAAACCAATGCTGAAATAGAGGGTCAGCCATTTCTTGCATACTTTGGTGTTCTCATCTATTTTCTTTCAAGAACCTGCAATAATGAGGAACACTGCTTGTGGTTTCAGCTTTACAACATCACTCAAGTCAGGGGGCATGTTTAATTTTTACACAAATGGCAAGATGATGAAATAAATAGTGGTCTGGTTAGCTTACAAATAGTACTAAATAATTATGATTAATCACTGACTCAGCAGTAGTTAGCTCTCAGCAATTGTAAAGGTTAACCGTTACAGACAACCGTATGCCACATTGACCCTTGCCTGTGGTGCCATATTGTATTTTAAACATGCCCCAATTAATTACTTTAGGCTTCTATATGTGTGCTGTTCTGTAAAACAACTACTGTAGCTGTAGTTCTGTAAAACTTCATTTTAATGTTATAGGTTAATTGTATTTTTCAAGTGAAATTGTTTTTAACCTAGGTTTAAACGTGCTCGAACATGGGGCCACTAAAAATCTTGCCAGAAGCCTATTCTTATTTAAGTCTTATTTTTCACTAATTACCGACAGATTTAGGAATTTTAGTCATGCACATCTCTTTGTAAACAAACAATGTCAAACACATTAACAGACATTCAAACAGACACTTAACTCCGTTGTAAACAACACACATTGCATCTGGAAAGGTTTATAATTCACACGCATCACTTTCGCTTTCTTTTGCCAAAATCGCCACTGTAAAATTCAGGTTGTAAGCTACTTCCTCGTCAAACATTAAATATTCGAGATCGATCATGCAAACTGCGCTGTGTACGGCTTCATCTACATTGGAAGATTGTGATAATGCACATCTTTGTATACCGTTTTCCAAGGAGTGCAGTGACTGCAGTGGTAAGACCGAATTTTTTTATTTGTTTACAATTTTACCATCGAACGTTTGATCTAAAGCTTCGACATTTGGCTCGATAGACAAGTGAATGGGACAGAATTCAAATATTAAAGGTATTTGATTGGCATTGATCGAGAAAATATTACACTTACCTTGTAAACTTCCATATTGACAAAAAACCACGACAATTGACTAGTCAACTCCGATGGCTCACAGTTTTCTACGAGCACAAAAAAAATGGGAAATGCTGAAAAGGTATTAACTCAATGCGACCACATTCTGACTCTCACTTCCTTTCCAGGCCTGGATACAAAGCCGATATGTGACCGAAATAAGAGATCGTTTCATTGGTCGTTTGAGAAACGGGTTCACTTCTAACCAATCAAAACTGTTGTATTATTGAGGTGGCAGCTTCAGTTTGAAAGGTTGTCAACATGAGCGAGGAGGTAGGTGTTTTATACCGTTCTTGCATTGTGACCTTTTGGACATTTGAATTCTTCGGAATATACTCTAACTGACACTCGTATTGCTTTCGTAATAATTGCGAGTAGTGTTTGGTCAAATTTGAAGAATTGCAGCCTTTTTTTTCACTGCTAAGAGAGATGAAAAGTAAGCTTACTTTCAATCCGCATTGTGTAAACTTTAATCAACTTATATTATAATAATGCTCATAAACCTTGTGGGTTTTTAATGATTTGCCTTACATCCTATTATTCCTTTACTACCTCTGAAGATTTACTTGTAGGCCAGATAAAAACTGTATCCCCTTTTTACATTCTCATCACATGCACGTACTTGACATTACATGTAAGCTTACATACGGTACTGGGCGGAGGAGAGGGTGCGGGCTGTAAATGGCACAGGGGCTTTGTTTCCGTGTTTCAATGTTGTTCATCAATAAAATATTGTACTTGGAAAAATTGACCAGGGGAATCCCTACCAGGTGACAGCCGGAGACTGTAGCACTTTGCAATGTTACTTAAAGACACTAATTAGTTAAATGTATTATTTTATAATGAAAAGCAACATTTGAGAAACTCTCAAAAATCTGACAGAAAGACTTTGGATGGTACTGGGATTTTAAATTATTAAACTTTTGATAAAAGGTTATAGATCCTGGAATTGAAACAGAATTTGAAGTTTCAGAAGAGATATGCTACTGCAATGGACCAAAGGACAGGTTGATAACTAATAATTTATTAATCATTTATGATTAATAAACACCTAATTATGTACACTGAATTTTATGATTATTATAGTTAATTAAAAGAATTTCTATTGGTAAATTATAAATCAAATTTTTAATTTCAAGATTAATTATTATTAGTTGATATTTACATTTTAAAACTACCTTTGATTATGCTGATAGTGATTTCGATTAATTCCATCTACATGTTGTTGTAATTTCCAAATTTTAAGATGCATGACAATAATACATGGTGCAGTGTTTTTATAAATATACAGTACCTGGAAAAAAAATAATAGAATCAAAATCATACTGGTTTCAGTTAATTTTATATATATAATCTGATTAACTATAGATTCAGCGTTTCTCTTTTTATGCCATTCGCAGTAATATGCTACACTGTGTTCTATGCCGGAGGATGTTTCATTTGGGTAAGAAGCTAATTATTTTTCCATTTAATTTTTATACTTGGCACACACGCCTCTCATTGTTCATGTGCACGAAACTTTAAAAGTCTAGCCTGCGAACAGGCTCCCAGTGAGTATATATTGTATATATTTGTAGTTCTTATCTTTTCCATTTTTTATCCATCAAAGGCTGTAGTCTGGCAACCGAAAGCTCGAAAGTTTTAACTTAATATAGCCAGTGAATGTTTTTTTATAAATTTTTAATAGGCTCCCAGTGAGCCTGAATGAAGCGAGGGAGCCTGTAGACATTCTATTGATGCCACCGTTCTGTGATACCAGCTCCTGGTATCATGATATGATTGGCTAAATCACTGATTGTTGACATCTTTGAGATAAATATTTGACAGGTCTCTGTAAAATGCAGTTGACCACCATACACAACTCCTTCAGTTTGTGGCAATTGTGCATTTGCTGTTCTCTTATAATTTCGGTCTCTCGATCTTTTGTTATTTCACTAGCGATTCTGAAGGGTACTTTATGCCCTGTTTTGAGGAGGAATTTTAAGTAGAAGCCGTTTGGCTGTGCTATAGCAAATTTTTTTAGAGGTCAAAGGCATGGCTTCCGGACTTTCTGCTGTTATTTGCATGTGGCTTCGCTGAGTTTGACTCCTCTATCATGTGCTTATAATTTCTTTAGGCTCAGTTCAGTATTGCAAAATATGTTTTAAGCTCTCTAAGTATTGGTTCTGGAGGGACAAAGTTTGAAATATTCTGTGAACATGCTTACTTGCACTCTATTTTATGACACTGGGCCCGGCTGTTTGATTAGGTCAATTAGAACTGTTTACAAGTACAGAAAATGTAGCTTCTTGACAGGTCGCTTACTTCATTGACTGATTTGTTACAGGCTAATCACCAAGGGCAGATAGGCACATCAAAAACAAAGTCCACAGGCTCCCCTGTACCGCCCCGATCACTTTGCTCATTCCTCTATTTCGCATTTGCTGAATCTTTTTTTTTCGTCTTCTCCGGGAGCCTGTTCGCAGGCTATCAAACTCATGTCATTAGTGTGGGGTCAATAAGTTCAAGTTGATTAGAATTTACTCATGATTTTTTTTCCCTTTATTCTTCAGATTGTCTGAAGAATGGTAGGCCTAGCACTCTTGTGGGTGATATTTTCTTTGACCTAACATGTGCAGCTTGTTCTTCTGATGGTTTAGAGTCTTGCACCAGACAAGCCTTAAGCTGGTAAGCTACTTGTACATGTCCATAACATGCGCAAAATTAATTAATAAAAGAGTTAGTGGGCTGCTGCAATACTCCTGTTAAAGGTAAAGTCTGCATATGAGCCAAGTGCCCCTTCAGGCTGGTGCTTCTCTATGTTTTCCGTAACATGAAGCGACTACATGTAGGGGTATTTCTACTCCCCCCTGGTTAGGATGCTAGGCCATCCCAGTGTTACCCCCCTGCATTAAATTCACCAGTACCCATTTATATGCCTGGGTGGAGAGGGGCACCGTGAGAACACAACGCAATGTCCGCAGCCATGCCAGGGCTCGAACCTAGACCTCTCGATCTGGAGCGCACTAACCATGAAGCCACTGCACAATACTTCTGTGCACTGTAGGTGTTAATAACTATTAAGTACGATTATTTGTTTTTGGAATACATTATTTTCAAGTGATGTTTCTATCTGATTATTTTTTTTTCCTCAAAAGGCTACAAGCTGTTTACTTGTCTTTGTACAATTTATATACCACCAGCAGAGGTCGAAAGGGTTACTTTAGATGGAGGGAAGACATTTGCCACTTCATTGACAGAAACTGGCTAGTTTTATTTCCCAAAAGGTAAGTTGGATACTTAAAGTTATATAATTAATAAGTTGTGATGGACATAATCAGCAGACATTTATGAAATTAATACATTTATTAAGTAAGAAAATTTAATAAAATTCTCCTCTTTGCCAGTATGGTGTACACAGACAGGCAGATGTTATTATCCTATATATTATAGGATGTGCAATTTTTACATGCAGATATAGTACATACACAGTGTTCATTAAAAAATAGAGAGTAGAGGGCTACAGTAGTTTCACAAAGAACATGTAGATGGCTGATACTGATTGAAGTACCAAAGGGACAAGCCTTTACATGTAGCTAGGGAGCATACTTCCCCAGAAAATGTTGAAATTGGGGGGCTCTAAAATGCTACATGTATTTTACATGTTCTCTTGTAGATATTTCCAAAAAAAAGTTGGAAAAGGTCAAAATGCCAAGAATTTTAAGGGGTTAACGCTCTTTCAATTTTTACCCTGCAGTGTAAAATTTGAAAGCATGCACCACACCCAGACCCTATGTTCACTCTCTAGCTACAGCCTTGACTGTCCTGAGACAAGGACACCCAAGGTTTTACTATCAGTGACATTCTAAAAAGCCTGTGTTTTCCCCAAAAATTTATACTCTTTACAGCTTATACACATAAAAAGTAAAGTCATAAAAAGTAGGCAGCTCACAAATGATAACCTAATCATAACCATGGAGATACAGTACCTATTGAATAATAATATTATCTAGCAGCTCGGGTCTATAAATATGTACTGAGTGAAAGACATTTAGCTGGGATTATAGGTGTGTAATACATGCAAAGATATATTGCTAGCCAATGATGTTTTTCATTGTAGGCATATAATGCATGCAAGATATGTACATGTTTAATATTGATTATCATACAGCTACATTCCCAGCCAAAAGTAGTTGGGACACTTGAGCTGTATCACATATTCCCCTTCCCCCCTAATCAATGTTGTAAAATATCGCGTTTTTCCAACAAAAAGGGAAAAAATCACCTGATTATCAACATTGAAAGTGGGGAGAGGAGAGAACTTGCCTCGTGTCCCAACTCTTTTGTTCGGGATTGTAGGGTTCTGGACAATGTGTCCAGAGTTATGCTCAGTTATCGACAGTTATGTGGCTTCAAAGTTCTGCAGTGCATTTAGAGAGATACTATTAACATCAAGCATATATGGGTACATGCAGTGTATGCAGGGAACGTGTCAAATATTAGCCTCGCAATGCATGCAGAGTGAACTGCAGCACTGCAGATCTGTGATGTGTAACTGTAGGGTAATATGATACATGCAGGGACAGAGAAAATGTCTGTCACTATAGGCTGGTATGAAATGCACAGAGAGAGAGAGGGTGAGAGAGAACTGGCATTATAGGTCTGCAATATGTGCAGAGAGACAGTCAATTATCTAGTATCAAAGGCCCAAACTGCATGCAGAATGATACCTTTTAAATTATCTGGGATCCTAACTCTGCAAATGTGTGCAGAGGGAAAGATTAGATAACATGATGTGACTTAATTGAGGGTCCACAATAGGGTTCTCAGATCCCGCTTTCCCGCCCATTTTTTCCTGTTAATCCCACCATCCCGCCTTTTTTGCCTGGAAATCCCCCTCCYGCCTACTTTTCCAGGACATTTCTGGGTTAATTATTAATTTTTAAAATTAATAATTAATTTAATTATTGACACAAACTTTTTAAAACAAGATATTGCATACAAGATCACAAAAGAATTCAATGGGTAGCAGATACGTAAGCACAAGTGATTATAACGTTTCTTTCTGTAAACGGTTTACTGTTTTGTTTCCTTTTTCCACGTATCAGTGAAAGAAAAAGATTGTTCATTTCCATATTCAAGAGATGGGCCGTAAACACACTTGACAATTTCTTTCAAAGCTTTCAGCGTCTTCACTTTACTTGAAATCTGGGCTCAGAACTTTTCTTTCCGAATGAAGGCATTCCTGCTCGCATTCCTGGTCTAATATATGGTGACGCAATTTGTAATGTCACAGACTTTGTTCGGTAAATCACTATCATCGCCATCCGGTGTGTCCATCCTGGCCAAAACAAGCCAAGCGCTTTGGAAAAGGTCGAAAGACTAGAAAAACTAGAAAGGATTGGGAGGTCAAGGTTACAGACACAAGCATCAAAAATGTAGGAAATGGACGACAAGTTTGAAAGAACCTGACAGGGTACAGAGCGGTTGCTATTCATTACTTGAAACCTGACACAGCTATACAGTTCGTTTCTGCCAGCTTGTGGTTTTTGCCCTGGTCAATAACAATTTATAAGGTCACGTAAGAATTGAAATCCCGTATCCTGCTCTGTTCCCCTTGCAAATCCCGCATCCCAACCCCATAAAAACACGAAATCCTGCTCCCGCTCGTAATTGTAATTCCTGCTTCCTGCCCCTGTTTTCAGCTTAAATCCCAAATATCACGGCGAAAAAAAGCAAATCCCACATCCCGCCAAACCTATTGGGAACCCTCTTAATTCTTTCTCTTTTCTGGGAGAACAGGGCCATCAACTTGTGTGTTCTACGCTGCTCTCACAGCTGTGGTAGCCTCTGTCCAGTTAGCAAAACTCATCTTCTGTCTTTCTGTCTCCATTTTTCCTCCACATCCCCTTTAGCCAACCTCTGCTCCTCTCTCCGTCTGTTGCCCAATGCATTGATATTGTGGTGCCTGCACAGTAGTCTTGCCTCATCTCCCTGTAGTGCCACCTCTGTCTCCTACATGTAATCTGCTCATTGATGGTTTACAGTACCTAAGATATGAAGGATAGAAATTAATTATCTAAGGGTTTTGAACACTAGTCATAAGGAATGCAACTGAATGCACTACTTAAGCAGTAACTGACTGAACTATAAAATTAATATAATTTTGTTTGGAATTCGCATTCAAACTTGTCTTTTAGGAGGAAGACAGCAACTTGGTGTAGTACGGTTGCTGGTATTTTGTCGTCAGGATGTCCTCAGTTTTTCAAGTCTGGAACAAAGGAATTTAATAAGGAAACCGGATGGTGGGGATTACAGCAGAACATTGCACCGGCCATAAAATTTAGTGAAGCAGGTTTGGAATATTTGATGCAAAATTCTTCTCAACAATTGTTTTTCAAGAGCTAGATAATTAGCTAATTTTTACCATTTTTACTTGTTGCAAAGACATGATGTGGCCTCAGATTTGAAAGACGGATTGGTAGTCATGCATACCAAACATATTGGATAAAATTTAGTTAATTTTTTACCCTGGTGAAAGGGAAAACAGTTGTGCTGCACATTTAAGCCTGAATGTACACTGTAGTTGTGAAATGTACAGTGAAACTGTACCTTAAAGTGCCACTATGATCAAATTCTCCATACCCATTTTTTAAAATTTTCGCACACAATAGGTCTTTCCTAAATTTTTTGCCAAATTTCAATCTATTACAAACATTAGAACTCATGTCATTTGGACCTTTATTTCCAAGAATTTACGGCCGCCATTAATTTTCCTTGTTCCAAGTCTAAGTTGAGAATTTGAGAAAATGACGTCATTTTCTCAAATTTTCAACCAAGACTTGGAACAAGGAAAATTAATGGCGGCCATAAATTCTCGGAAATTAAGGTCCAAAAACCACGAGTTTTAATGTTCGCAGAAAATTGAAATTTGGCAAGATACCTAGGAAAGACCTAATGTGTATGAAAATGTGAAGAAATGGATATCGAGAATTTCATCATAGTGGCACTTTAAGATTTAACTAGGGCTAGTCATTAAGTTTTGAGTTGCCTGTACCCTTGTTCTCCACACCCATAGCAAACTTGTTACTTTGTGGGTGAATTCTTTCAACAACAGGCAATTTCACCTGTAGCATCAAGAGAAAATCAAGGATGGTCAGCCGTAACAGGTGTTACAGGTTACTGCCCTTAATGAGAGTCCTGTTGACTACTGTTAGTATTTACAATCATTATCTAATGACAATCCTGTTTTCTAAGCAGATGGCTAACATACTCAGTGTACAGACTTAATGCAACCACAATTGTACAAAACTTTTTTTACATTGTAGGAGCTAACCAATAAGTAACTACAGGGTGTGTTGCAAACTATTCTTGGGAGTGCAACTTGTTTTTTATATTAATTATGATTGTTAATTATGTACAACAGGAAGTGGGAGTACACGAAAAAGGAAAGGAGGACCTATTGTTGTAGGATCCAGTTCAAAGACCAGCAGCAATAACTCAAACGAGGAGCAGCCAACAAGTATTGGAGTGCAGTCATCATACGAGGATGAACATGGTACTAAGGTATTGTTGACAACATTGACTTCAAAAAGTTTAAAACACCAAAAGACTGTTTTATTAGTTTCCTTCGGTTATTCTGTTTGTAAACATGCATAATGAGAATGCACAAATACACTGGGCAATGTACATGTAAATGTGCATGTAACTTAATGACAATGATTTTTCATAGGCTTAAATGCACGCAGATGGCTATAATGAACTACATATAATAACAAATATATACCCTTGGCATACATAACATGTCTACTATAATTATTACAAAAATAATTATTAAAGTGATGCTGACAATTAAGCCAAATGAATTTTACCAAATACGGTAACATATAAACTCACTTTTTACAATCTGTGGTACAAAATTATTAATAAAAAACATTTTAGTGATAATTATCAAGTCAAGCAATGAGAGATAGCGTACAGCTTTGAAATCTGTATGTCCAATATTTGAAAAGATGGTAACTTGCTTAGAGATCACTGACAACCTGTTAATTGAATCAGTGGCAATTATCGACCTCTGATTAGTGTCCCTCTCATATCATGAGATCCATATGAAATAAAAACCAGCCCCTGCTTTAACGAATTCTGCTAGCTAGCATGAGTCTACTTGTATGAAGTACTTGTTTGTGGAGCACAGCATGAAATAAAACTCATTAAAGTAACAACTCAGACAGCTGCAAAAGTCTACAAAAAAATTATAAGAAATTTGAAGTAAACTTCTGTTGTGCTTACTCAAGGAAGTACAATGTATGGTATGTAGATTGAAGAGTTGTAGTCTAGTTAGTTTTGTAAGACTTTAGTTTTTGAGATAAATAATGTGTAGTCTCCTTATTTAGTGGACACTTATGTTAGAATTAATTACAGATTAACGCACTCAGCGAGTGAATTATCGGGACTTACCTGAGTTCACTAACAAAGAATGAGAAATTTCAACACGGTATTGAAAATTTCGAGTTCATTGTTAGTGAACAAGTACAGGTAAATCCCGATAATTCATGAGCAATGAGTGCGTTAACATTTATTCAAATTGAATACATTGCGCAAAGAAACACTGCATTGAAACCACTATATTTGAGTCAGCCGAAGCCATGGTGTAATGACAGTGGTGTGTTGAATTTACACCATGGCTATTACACCAGGATAATGACGTCAAGGGGGTTGTCTCGTCGCAACCCAGTATCACGTGGTACAAATCAGCCAATCAGAAAATCGCAATTCGTACAGTGTATGAAAGTTAAATCATAATAATTATTAACCAACTCCATCACTATTGTATTATTTTGTGACCAATTCTTGCAGTCGTCTTCTCCTGAAGATAAAAGTCAATGTGATGACCTCATGTCTCAGTTGTTGTCTGAGGACGATATACGCGAACTTGCTGAATCTCATTCAGGTTTGTGCAGACAGTTCAATTTGATGTTCATCTAATTCACATGCAAGTAGAAGTTGTGGTGGTCTAATAATTGGTGCATTGGACTCCAGATTGAGCAATCTCAACCTCGTAACCAGGGTTCTCTCTCTTCCTTGAGAAAGTACCCTTGTTGTAAAAGGCTTCATAGACGAAGAACTGTTCAGGCTGAATCTCAGACAAATAACTTGTTTCACTTTTAAAATAATGTCTGTACAGCAAGCGGAAAGCAGCACGACTTGAAGTCTGTACAGTTTCCCCTCCCTAGACAAAACTGAATTGTAATGTTGAAAAATACAGTTGAAGACCCACCCACTGTGCAGCTTTAGTTGGCATGCGTAGACACGTGACCAGCCGCAACCAGAACACTTTCGCAAGGAAGACGGTGGACCCTGGGTACGAGGCTGGAGGGATCTGGGTTCTAGCCTGTCTGAGGTCATTGAGTTGTGTTCTTGGTCAAGACACTTACTGTACAAAGCCTCTTTCCTCTCAGGAATATGAATATGTACCGTTGAATTGTTTGGGCAACCTGACTTGATTCTTGGGTAAAACGTTGAACTAGCGTCCAGTTCAAGGGGGATACTGGGCAATACTCGTGGCCACTTCATGCTACGAGAAACGGAGTTAAACAATCAGATTTATGGGTCAGTTGGGTTAAGGACTTTACGTTCAACATGTACTTACTAAACACATGGAAAGCTTGTATTTAAACTACCAATTTCCTAGCCCGTGAATGCAGTTGTCTGTCATTCCTCAGTTCTAGTCGCTTTGACATGCACCAATACCTAAAGTGACCCAGAGTAATGAGAAACGGTTCTATTTGCAGTTCACAGCTATCCATGTTTGACGTGCTGAAAATGTTTTTTGGACAATTATTGATCTCCATATTTTTATTGCTTCTTTTGCCTTTCAGATATGGCCACTTTCTCTAGTTTGTTCTCGACAAGTTATGATGACATGGACGAAACCTCTTCACTTTTTGCTGCTGAGGACGAAAAATCAGGTTTGAGTTCTTTTACATTTAGTAAACTAGTGTATTAATTCATAAAAATAACCTTCGTTGCAAGAGTCTTTCCTAAAATATATTGACAGGGATTCACACAATTAATTAACTGATGCGTAATTCACTTGTCGTTGGCAAGCGTGCGACTGGCCTCGAAGTAAACAACCCAGTAATGTGCTGTTTCACTTGTTGTCCAGTTGTTCAAATTTATCCACATCGGAAACAACGAGTGATGTGCAACCCGCGTGAGGTTTATACAGTAAAACTTATAAACAAATCAAAATTACTAGGGACCTAAAGCAAACCAGGATGGCAACGGCAACGAGAACGTCACCATATGTACAAAAGGTTAAATGAGTAGAACAATGGCTGTGCACGTGCGTTGTAAATCTCTGTAAAATCTTTATTATTATTATTTATTATAATTATTATATTTCTAAGTCGTCCTCTGCAAAACAGCAACGTGAAATGACTAAGTTGTGGGTATTTTGCAGAGCGTGAGCCACAACGGCTATTTTTTCGTATTTTCTTTTGGAAATGATCGCTGGCGTTACACAGTTAGTGAGCGGGGTTTAGACCAATCGACGGACTGAACAGATGTAGGCAATTGTGAAATTTAAAAGTAAAATATATATAGAGCCCTTTTTTACTAAGCGTCGTCCTTCTTTGCTGGCGTCATTGCTTGAGGTCCATACTAGGTATCAGACAACTACAGAACGCCTTTCAAAACACCTTTTCTTTCCTTCTCCTCCCACAGAATCAGAAATGCGCACCGAGAGTGAAGCAAGACCAGAAGATACCGAATCCATATCCTCAAGCGCTGTATCTGATACGTCAAGTAAGAACCCGCGATCTGACACGTTTCCGAGCAAGGCTAAAAGCAAAGCTGTAAAGAACCCTGCAAGTCTTGATCAAACAAGGTCAGTTTGACAGATGACTGATATCATAGTTAAGGTAGTAAAGCTGCACTGTTCTCGGCAATGTTATAATTAAAACAATTGAATCATGCTTTTAGCGGTACATGATCGAGTTATGAAGCACTTGGAAAGTTTGGAGAATACTCAAGAAGCTAGAGTTGATCTCGGCCGCGCCTCGAGAAACTCTTACGCTTCTTTCTTGTTCTCCAAACTTCCCAAGTGTGTCATGCCTTTAGTTACTGTACGCTACAACATGAAGCAGTTTTTAAGTGAATTATAGTTAAGGAAGCTGTCAGGTTAAGATGTTTTATTCGAAAAATTTATGCGCTTATCCAAAAGTCCGTATTTCTCAAGGCCTTAAGTGAGTATAGGTAGACTTTAAAGACATGACATTTTTTTGAAATAGCTGATAACTGATATGTGATGTGGCGCTATGCTCAGATCTAGAATGGGAGAGGTACGCGCAGTCATTTACAGCACTTTTCGAGTTAACTAGTAGCTCTCAGATCACATTGTTTCTTTTTTGTCTTCAGCTTGTTTCCCGTGTCCGAAGACAAAGAAAAGGACATTTTGCTCAGGATCAATTCTTGTCCCAAAGCAGTGTGTCATGATCCAGTGGCGAGGAGATTCAGGAGAAAGCTGATATTAAGACAGGTACACACATGTTGTTGTCCAGTCCGCAGGAAGAAGGGACGAGTAGAGTACAAGCAGTCTCTATTTCGCTTAGTTCGTCGTGGCGCGAAAAATAAGGACGAGAGAAGAATGGCCGCGACGAAATCTGGGGGTGAGTAGCGCGCCCTCCTTTCGCGCGCGCTTCGCTCCCAGATTTCATCGCAGCAATTTTTCTTTTGTTCTTTTGTCCATGTTTGTTGTCCAGTTCATAGAAAGAATGGAGGAGTAGAGTAGGAGCAGGTCGTCGTGATGCGAAAAAAGGACGAGAGTAAAATGGCTGCGCGAAATCTTGGCCAGAGAAGCGCGCAAAAGGAGGGTCTTCCTGGGTCCTTCTTTTCGCTCGCGTGTCGTCCCTAGATTTTGCCAGGCCATTTTTCTCTCATTTTCCACCTGTCTTGACCATTCGGTGGTCATGTACCCATGGATATCACTATAATTGCTTTGAACAACCACTTCAAATACTACGGTATTTGCAAAAAGAGCTCACAACTCAATTTTACTTAATATTTATTAGGTTAAACGATCCAAGGGTTTGAAATTATTCGACCTAGACAAGACCGTCTCCGAGGCCGTGAGCGCAACGTTGAGATATCAGCTGACTTGTGATGGCGCTGTTCGTATTGAGGTAAGAATGTTCAGCATTTTAAGCAGTGTAAACAGTTTTTAAACGGTTCCCAATTGTCTTGATCTGTCTGTCATGGTGTATCTTAATCCACCATCTTGTTAGATGGACATGTCTCGTCAATTGAAATTTCCATCCAACATTTTGCGCGACGCACAATGTGTTGGATAAAAATAAATTGATCATTTAGTCGTGACTGTAGTTCATCTGTGTACTACATGTACAGGCAGTCAGGCTCTCGTACATGTATTTAAAACTTTCTTTGGGAGCTACTAGGCTTTGCTAGCTAAACTGACCTTGTTTGATCAAGACTTGCAGAGTTCTTTACCACTCTGCTTTTAGCCTTGGTCTGAAACATTAATCAAATTATTTTGTAGAGGCAGAGGAGATTCCTTTCAAATCGAACTGCACCTCAAGCGAGTAGTTTATGAAAGTGACAGAATGGCTAAAGGGTGTTGATAAACCGAATGGGAATAGGGATGGATTAAATTAAGTTACTGAGTAGCCAGTGGTGTGTTGAATTTACACCATGGCTATTACACCAGGATAATGACGTCAAGGGGGTTGTCTCGTCGCAACCCAGTATCACGTGGTACAAATCAGCCAATCAGAAAATCGCAATTCGTACAGTGTATGAAAGTTAAATCATAATAATTATTAACCAACTCCATCACTATTGTATTATTTTGTGACCAATTCTTGCAGTCGTCTTCTCCTGAAGATAAAAGTCAATGTGATGACCTCATGTCTCAGTTGTTGTCTGAGGACGATATACGCGAACTTGCTGAATCTCATTCAGGTTTGTGCAGACAGTTCAATTTGATGTTCATCTAATTCACATGCAAGTAGAAGTTGTGGTGGTCTAATAATTGGTGCATTGGACTCCAGATTGAGCAATCTCAACCTCGTAACCAGGGTTCTCTCTCTTCCTTGAGAAAGTACCCTTGTTGTAAAAGGCTTCATAGACGAAGAACTGTTCAGGCTGAATCTCAGACAAATAACTTGTTTCACTTTTAAAATAATGTCTGTACAGCAAGCGGAAAGCAGCACGACTTGAAGTCTGTACAGTTTCCCCTCCCTAGACAAAACTGAATTGTAATGTTGAAAAATACAGTTGAAGACCCACCCACTGTGCAGCTTTAGTTGGCATGCGTAGACACGTGACCAGCCGCAACCAGAACACTTTCGCAAGGAAGACGGTGGACCCTGGGTACGAGGCTGGAGGGATCTGGGTTCTAGCCTGTCTGAGGTCATTGAGTTGTGTTCTTGGTCAAGACACTTACTGTACAAAGCCTCTTTCCTCTCAGGAATATGAATATGTACCGTTGAATTGTTTGGGCAACCTGACTTGATTCTTGGGTAAAACGTTGAACTAGCGTCCAGTTCAAGGGGGATACTGGGCAATACTCGTGGCCACTTCATGCTACGAGAAACGGAGTTAAACAATCAGATTTATGGGTCAGTTGGGTTAAGGACTTTACGTTCAACATGTACTTACTAAACACATGGAAAGCTTGTATTTAAACTACCAATTTCCTAGCCCGTGAATGCAGTTGTCTGTCATTCCTCAGTTCTAGTCGCTTTGACATGCACCAATACCTAAAGTGACCCAGAGTAATGAGAAACGGTTCTATTTGCAGTTCACAGCTATCCATGTTTGACGTGCTGAAAATGTTTTTTGGACAATTATTGATCTCCATATTTTTATTGCTTCTTTTGCCTTTCAGATATGGCCACTTTCTCTAGTTTGTTCTCGACAAGTTATGATGACATGGACGAAACCTCTTCACTTTTTGCTGCTGAGGACGAAAAATCAGGTTTGAGTTCTTTTACATTTAGTAAACTAGTGTATTAATTCATAAAAATAACCTTCGTTGCAAGAGTCTTTCCTAAAATATATTGACAGGGATTCACACAATTAATTAACTGATGCGTAATTCACTTGTCGTTGGCAAGCGTGCGACTGGCCTCGAAGTAAACAACCCAGTAATGTGCTGTTTCACTTGTTGTCCAGTTGTTCAAATTTATCCACATCGGAAACAACGAGTGATGTGCAACCCGCGTGAGGTTTATACAGTAAAACTTATAAACAAATCAAAATTACTAGGGACCTAAAGCAAACCAGGATGGCAACGGCAACGAGAACGTCACCATATGTACAAAAGGTTAAATGAGTAGAACAATGGCTGTGCACGTGCGTTGTAAATCTCTGTAAAATCTTTATTATTATTATTTATTATAATTATTATATTTCTAAGTCGTCCTCTGCAAAACAGCAACGTGAAATGACTAAGTTGTGGGTATTTTGCAGAGCGTGAGCCACAACGGCTATTTTTTCGTATTTTCTTTTGGAAATGATCGCTGGCGTTACACAGTTAGTGAGCGGGGTTTAGACCAATCGACGGACTGAACAGATGTAGGCAATTGTGAAATTTAAAAGTAAAATATATATAGAGCCCTTTTTTACTAAGCGTCGTCCTTCTTTGCTGGCGTCATTGCTTGAGGTCCATACTAGGTATCAGACAACTACAGAACGCCTTTCAAAACACCTTTTCTTTCCTTCTCCTCCCACAGAATCAGAAATGCGCACCGAGAGTGAAGCAAGACCAGAAGATACCGAATCCATATCCTCAAGCGCTGTATCTGATACGTCAAGTAAGAACCCGCGATCTGACACGTTTCCGAGCAAGGCTAAAAGCAAAGCTGTAAAGAACCCTGCAAGTCTTGATCAAACAAGGTCAGTTTGACAGATGACTGATATCATAGTTAAGGTAGTAAAGCTGCACTGTTCTCGGCAATGTTATAATTAAAACAATTGAATCATGCTTTTAGCGGTACATGATCGAGTTATGAAGCACTTGGAAAGTTTGGAGAATACTCAAGAAGCTAGAGTTGATCTCGGCCGCGCCTCGAGAAACTCTTACGCTTCTTTCTTGTTCTCCAAACTTCCCAAGTGTGTCATGCCTTTAGTTACTGTACGCTACAACATGAAGCAGTTTTTAAGTGAATTATAGTTAAGGAAGCTGTCAGGTTAAGATGTTTTATTCGAAAAATTTATGCGCTTATCCAAAAGTCCGTATTTCTCAAGGCCTTAAGTGAGTATAGGTAGACTTTAAAGACATGACATTTTTTTGAAATAGCTGATAACTGATATGTGATGTGGCGCTATGCTCAGATCTAGAATGGGAGAGGTACGCGCAGTCATTTACAGCACTTTTCGAGTTAACTAGTAGCTCTCAGATCACATTGTTTCTTTTTTGTCTTCAGCTTGTTTCCCGTGTCCGAAGACAAAGAAAAGGACATTTTGCTCAGGATCAATTCTTGTCCCAAAGCAGTGTGTCATGATCCAGTGGCGAGGAGATTCAGGAGAAAGCTGATATTAAGACAGGTACACACATGTTGTTGTCCAGTCCGCAGGAAGAAGGGACGAGTAGAGTACAAGCAGTCTCTATTTCGCTTAGTTCGTCGTGGCGCGAAAAATAAGGACGAGAGAAGAATGGCCGCGACGAAATCTGGGGGTGAGTAGCGCGCCCTCCTTTCGCGCGCGCTTCGCTCCCAGATTTCATCGCAGCAATTTTTCTTTTGTTCTTTTGTCCATGTTTGTTGTCCAGTTCATAGAAAGAATGGAGGAGTAGAGTAGGAGCAGGTCGTCGTGATGCGAAAAAAGGACGAGAGTAAAATGGCTGCGCGAAATCTTGGCCAGAGAAGCGCGCAAAAGGAGGGTCTTCCTGGGTCCTTCTTTTCGCTCGCGTGTCGTCCCTAGATTTTGCCAGGCCATTTTTCTCTCATTTTCCACCTGTCTTGACCATTCGGTGGTCATGTACCCATGGATATCACTATAATTGCTTTGAACAACCACTTCAAATACTACGGTATTTGCAAAAAGAGCTCACAACTCAATTTTACTTAATATTTATTAGGTTAAACGATCCAAGGGTTTGAAATTATTCGACCTAGACAAGACCGTCTCCGAGGCCGTGAGCGCAACGTTGAGATATCAGCTGACTTGTGATGGCGCTGTTCGTATTGAGGTAAGAATGTTCAGCATTTTAAGCAGTGTAAACAGTTTTTAAACGGTTCCCAATTGTCTTGATCTGTCTGTCATGGTGTATCTTAATCCACCATCTTGTTAGATGGACATGTCTCGTCAATTGAAATTTCCATCCAACATTTTGCGCGACGCACAATGTGTTGGATAAAAATAAATTGATCATTTAGTCGTGACTGTAGTTCATCTGTGTACTACATGTACAGGCAGTCAGGCTCTCGTACATGTATTTAAAACTTTCTTTGGGAGCTACTAGGCTTTGCTAGCTAAACTGACCTTGTTTGATCAAGACTTGCAGAGTTCTTTACCACTCTGCTTTTAGCCTTGGTCTGAAACATTAATCAAATTATTTTGTAGAGGCAGAGGAGATTCCTTTCAAATCGAACTGCACCTCAAGCGAGTAGTTTATGAAAGTGACAGAATGGCTAAAGGGTGTTGATAAACCGAATGGGAATAGGGATGGATTAAATTAAGTTACTGAGTAGCCAGAGTCAGATTACAGAAGATGAATCTGACAAATTTAGGCAAGTATCTTATACCATCAATATCGTCTCTTGTTTATATGTACGTAGATCAGGGATTAAATGAACTCAGCTTTTTTTAGCTGGTGTTATATGTGTGATGCACTTTACTGTTTTTGAAGAACATGGTGAGTTGTGTTTAATATTTGCTCTTTGTACGATTCATGTAGGATAACAACAGACTGCCATCAGCTACTGAAGAGGTCTCTCAAGGAATGCTCCAGAAACAGGTTGCTATAACAACGATAACGTTTTGTTATGTTTAAGAAGTATAAGACATTTTTCATGTTTCTTTAGAGTTATAGCTACACGAGGTAAAGTCTTGGAGAACGAGAAATACGTCGCAAACCCGAGCCGAAGGCGAGTGTTTCCGAGCTCTCCCGAACTTTGTTTGTTACGTTGCGGCCTTTTATGTGGACTCACACGACGAGCATTTAAGTTGTATGGAAATTTGTTGGAATTCTACCGCCAAAGCCACTTGTTTTGCCGATAGTTTATTCCTTGTCACCAGAGAAACCAAACCCATTCTCAGTTCTTTTGTGTTTCCTCTTTGTGTGCGTGAGAACGCGTGGGAATTAAAATTACTCGCATTCTGTTGTTCATCGAGCCGAAAGTAAGAGATCTTCTACCTTTTGAGACCAACTGTTAATTGACCCTTTTCATATATGGCTCCAATTTAAATTTCTTTTGTATGCATTTAAATTAGCCTCATTAAACTCGTTTGGGAGTAAAAATTCTTTCGAATTATCAACTCAAAAACGAGGTTAGTCAGGCTAATTTTAATACTTACAAAAGAATTTATAGTTGGCAGCCATTTGTGAAAAGGGTCTATACATTGATGTTTATCTGTTTGTTTCTTCTTTTTCGCAGAGAATTTCCAGTGGTCCTAGTATTGCAGCCCGTGGCACAGCGGAGAATGTCCTTGACAGATTTTTGGTGAGAGAGATCTTAGACTTAATTTGTGTAGAAAATGAAAGGTACACCGAGTTAGCTGACTTAATGTAGTTCTCCCAACAATCTCGACTTGGAAATTGGGACTGTTATTTTATTTGTGAAGCAAGGTTTGGAGCTAAACGAGAGGGCCAGAAACAAACTCAATCGAACTTTGTAAACAATAGGATATGAATAGGAAACATTAAGGTGAATTTTAAGTTTGATATGACAACTTTGAATTGTCGAGAAATGGTTTACTGTCTTCTTTTCAGCAACAATGAGGTATGTGCCTTTCATTTGCAGGCTTCTCCTCGAATGCTTCCCAGCTTTCGCCCCAGGACCTGCTCGTTCATAACTCGACTAATTGGCGGTGACTCTCAGACACTCTACAGACCCATCACCAGTCCCTACACGTCCCGAATTCTAAAACCTTTCATCAGACGAGATTACGAGAGCAGGCCATTGAAGTTACAACTGTTACAGCAGATTATCGCTCGTGGTCACAGGTGAATCATATTCTTTGCTGGTTTTCCATACGGTTTTGTTTGGTTGGAGAATTCGTAGGGTTTGTGATCAACTGGAACTCAATGTACCCTTTACAGTGCGACCACTCGAACCGGGCCACTTGGAAAAGAATCAACCAATCAGAACGTTACTTGAGAACAAAGGATAGCGATCTTTTTCCGAAATAAACCAATAACATTGTAGAATACGAACAATAGTTCTTAACGAAATTGAAAACCCAGCAAAGTGCGAAGTGTTGTGAACCTCTCAGAAAACTTTGCCATTTGTTGATTGGTTAGTTTCGATCCTAAGTTTTGTACGCTTTTCAATAGTTTCGGTTTAGTTGTCGCAAAATTAATTTTGAAGCTAAGTTTTTCGAGCGAGACTTGTAAGTATGATAATTCGCTGATGGTGCTGAATCTCTAAGAGTGTATATAAGGCAGAGGAGTCAATAGTATTTATGTTTTCATGTCAAACAGTCCCTTGATACTTGCCGTCACGATAAGCTACCAATCCATTATTCCCAGTTTACGTTTTGATTGGTTAGTTTTCCTCTAGGTAGCCCGGTTCGGGTAGTCACACTGCAACAGAGTCTACACTGCTGGAACAGCAGCGAGGCAGTTGATGGTAGCACTTGTTTCAATCTAGATGACATCGGTTGAGATTTCAACTCCGTGTCTTATCGTTTAGGGACGATCCTGAGTGGAAGCCGCCTCCAGTTTCTTCAATTGATTACTGCTATGTTCAGCCTCATCATATTCCATCCGTGAACGCCATGTGTCGGGAATTTTTCTGGCCAGGAATTGACTGTAAGTTCTAAAGAATTTAGAAGCGAGGAATCAGCTGTAATTGTTTTAAATGATTTTTTGTTTTGATTTTGTTAATGCAGTTCTGTGGTAATGGACTTCACTGCAGTTAGCGAATCTTGGAAAACTCTGCTGAAATCTCCAGGGCCCTCATCTATAATCCTTGTGGTGATCACTGTCGTGTTGCCTTTTTAGTAAAGGATTTTTTGCGTCGGCTAATTAGCCAACTTTCGAAATGTTTGTGCTCTAAAGTTGTAATGTTGTTTCTTTTTTTACTCCCCAGTATCTGAGTGCCTTCAGTATCCAGACTTTAGCTGTGTAGTTCTCTATAAGTAAGTACCTTGTGTCTTTTAACCAGTATATCATTGATCCTTGACTTCCTCAAAAAGCGTGCACGATTTAACATATTCTTCAAAACTTTCTCGTGTTCTGTCTTTCTTTTCGTTTTTCTGCGAGTTCTTCTTTTACTTCTAAAAAGGCACCTGTATCCAAGATGTATCACCTATATGAGTATCTAAACCGGTAATTTTAAGGCGCTTTCTCTGGCGCTTTCATTTGAATCGTCACGCGGTGTAAGAGAGAAAAAAATTGCGTGACGGACTTCAAAGAGGGTTTGCGCAGATCAGTTGTAAGGCATCGGGTTTTCCGTTGCAGAAATGCGACAAAAGCAGGAAAACATTTAAACAGGCGTGATATTTAACATATGAGAACGATACTTGCATTGCCCTGAATTTTATTTCGATTTTCTTCACCTTGGCCGAATCTTAGCTCGGTCTTTGAGAGATGAATCGCTTTTTTCCTCCAACTTGTTCGGAACTAAGCCTTGAAGTGAATATTGTGAGCGGGTATCGAGTTACGGGTGATCCCGAGTGGGCAAGGCCTCTTAAAGTTACGCAAACCACATGATTGAAGTCAATTCACTGTCGCTTTCTACCTCAAAAATACACTGTTAAACAACGAAGAGAGGTTCTTTTGCTATTGCCTAATCGATACTTCACCTTTCTTTTAGAAAATTTGTCATCGGTTTTGCCTTTATGGTCCCGGATGTTAACTATAACGAGGCTTATATCTCATTCGTGCTAGTCCACCCCGAGTGGCGCCGCGGAGGAATTGGAACNTTTTTTTTTGATTTTGTTAATGCAGTTCTGTGGTGATGGACTTCATTGCAGTTAGCGAATCTCGGAAAACTCTGCTGAAATCTCCAGGTCCCTCATCAAAAGTCCTTGTGGTGATCACTGTCGTGTTCCCTTTTTAGTAAAGGATTTTTTGCGTCGGCTAATGAGCCAACTTTCGAAGTGTTTGTGCCATAAAGTTGTAATTTGTTTCTTTTTTTACTCCCCAGTATCTGAGTGCCTTCAGTATCCAGACTTTAGCTGTGTAGTTCTCTATAAGTAAGTACCTTGTGTATTTTAGCCAGTATATCATTGATCCTTGACTTCCTCAAAAAGCGTGCACGGTTTAATATATTCTTCAAAACTTTCCCGTGTTCTGTTTCTCTTTTCGTTTTTTTCTGTGAGTTCTTCTTTTACTTCTAAATAAGCACCTGTATCCAAGATATATCACCTATATGAGTTTCTAAAACGGTAATTTTAAGGCGCTTTCTCTGGCGCTTTCATTTGAATCGTCACGCGATGAAAGAGAGAAGAAATTGCGTGACGGACCTTAAAGAAGGTTTGCTCAGGTCAGTTGTAAGGCCTCGCGTTTTCCATTCCAGAAATGCGCCAAAAGCAGGAAAACATTTAGACAGGCGTGATATTTAACATATGAGAAATTAACGATACTTTCTTTGCCCTGAATTTTATTTCGATTTTCTTCACCTCGGCCGAAACTTAGCTCGGTCTTTGGGAGATTAATCGCTTTTTTCCTCCAACTTGTTCGGAATTAAGCCTTGAAGTGGATACTGTGAACGGGTATCGAGTAACGGGTAATCCCGAGTGGGCAAGGCCTGTTAAAGCCAGCCAAACTACATAATTGAGGTCGATTCATTGTCGCTTTCTACCTCAAAAATAAATTGTTAAACAACGAAGAGAGGTTCTTTAGCTATTGCCTAATCGATACTTCCCCTTTCTTTTAGAAAATTTGTCATCGGTTTTGCCTTTATGGTCCCGGATGTTAACTATAACGAGGCTTATATCTCATTCGTGCTAGTCCACCCCGAGTGGCGCCGCGGAGGAATTGGAACCTACATGATTTACCACTTGATTCAAACTTGCATGGGAAAGGACGTAACACTTCATGTATCTGTCACGAATCCAGCCATGCTTATGTATCAGAAGTTTGGATTTAAACCTGAAGAATTCATACTGGAGTTTTATAATAGATATCTTCCACAAGATAGTCCCCAGTGCAAGCATGCGTTTTTTCTAAGGTTGAGAAGATAACGCATTATTGAAAAGGCGTGAAGATTTAAAATAATGATAATGTTCAGAGGATGCTGGAATATTTTCCCCAAGGTGTACTGCTGGATGTTGGAATATTTTACCCTGGGGTACTGCTGGATGCCGGAATATTTTGACCCAGGGATACTACTGGATGCTGGAATATTTCACCCCAGGGATACTACTGGATGGTGGAATATTTTACCCCACGGGATAATACTGAATGCTGGAAGATTTCACCCCAGGGGTACTACTGTATGCTGGAATGTTTTACCTCAGGGGTAATACTGAATGCTGGAATATTTCACCCCGGGGTTACTCCTAGATGCTAGAATATTTCACCCCAGGGGTACTACTGGATGCTGGAATATTTTACCCCAGGGGTAATACTGGATGCTGGAATATTTCCCCCCAGGGTTATTCCTGGAATATTTCACCCCAGGGGTACTAATAATCCCCCACATAGACCTTATTCCCAAGATAATCCCTCTCATGCTATCTTTAGATCACTGCCGGTTTTGAAAATCCCACGAGGGTCTAGAAATAGCCAATCCTGTGACGGGGATTTTGGCCACGTGGACACCGTAAAGCGCCTTTACACGCATTTTAATCCTGCACTAAAACATCCACGGACCCCAGTTGACCGTGTCTTAAGAACAAAAGCAATTTGCTCCAAACGCATGCGCAGATTAGTTAGCGTCAAAAGCCGACTATATGTCAGGTGAAAGATACATTTCATACGGGACTACCCACGAACGTTGAGTTCTTTTCCTTGTGGTAGAACATAACATGTAAGATGCATGTGTTCTAGCATTGCTAGTGTAATAAACTCCGTTCTCTATTTCAGATGCACGCTGCTTTTATTTTTTGTTTACGAGTGATACCACGCTCTCGTTTTGGCCGGGGATAGCAGCTATATTTCAGGTAACGTCGGTTCTCCTTTTTTTTGTTGCAAAGAACGCTACTTGGGCTTCGTATTTTCTGGATTCTTCTATTCTTCGATTCAAGAAATGTCTGTTGTGTGTTTACCAGGGTTCAAATAAAGAATGGGAACATGTTGTCCTTAGCAGCTTGTTTGTATCCGCTTCTATCAAAGAGAGCCAAAAGTTCATATTCAGCCGAAACTTTCCCGCGTTAGTTACTTGTAAAACTAATAAATTTGTGACAAAAGAAACTTCGTTATTATTGCGGCAGACCCCGTGGCACTTAATGAAACCGCCAATTAAGGGTGCATTCCTTTGGGGTGATCCGGATCAGTGATCCAAGATCACTCGGATCATGGTGCATCAAAGGAACCGACGAATCCACTCTGGTCACGGATTCATCGGTTCCTTTGATGTACCATGATTCGAGTGATCTTGGGCCACTGATCCTGATCCAGATCATCCTAAAGGAACGTACCCTAATTTTATCAGTCGATGAGGTGACTCGCTCACCGATGTGGGATATAATTTCGGTCAAGTAAAGATCTTTTCCTTCAATACTTCTTGTTGAAACGCTCCTCAGTCGTATTACTCGGCAGCATTGTGTATTAGTTTGACGTGGTTTTATTGTTAACACCAAAGCTGGCAACAAAATAAGAACGCACTATTCTGTGACTCGACGTGACTATTTGATAATTACATTAGTCCTTGTTTATCTGTGAAATGAAAATTTGCGTTTTAAATAAAACAAAATCGTTCTTTTTCGACTTTTCAGCAGATATTTAACTTTTATATTCCATTTATCTCCAGCAGTTAGTAAAAAATTAGACATCTTTCTATATTTTCGTGGAAACAAAGGTATCTTGTTGCATACATTGGCGAGGAAAACAAAAGTATCAAATTACAAACGCTGGCGTGAAAAGTAAAATTGTCACATTTGCCACAAAATGAACGAAACTCAACATAAAATACCATAGACATTCGGGCCGGGGGGGGCGGAGGGGTTGCAGCCCCCCCCCAGTTACAGAAATTTTTGAAATTTTTTGGGCATAACGCTGATGATTCGGGCAAAAGTACTTGGGAGAAAGCATCGTAAAAAGTAGTCAAAGCCAGGCTTGTAGGCTACTTTGTCTGACGTTTGCCTTGTCAAGACGGAGTTAAGGTCAAATGATCAAATGATCCTGGAAATCTGTTTTGAAAAAGCCATATATCGTTTAAATATGTATCGTGGAAATCCACGAGATGGATATTACTTCCATCAACAAAACAATGACAGAATCAAACCAAACTAAGACCTAGACTTTTGTTTTTGTGGTTGCTCTGAAAAGAGCCATTTTGAATGGCTCCACGAAGAGCCGTTTTAAATTGTCTTCTCGTACGAGGAAGAATTTACTGTTTCTTTTCTGCGTTTCTGATTTTACCAGGCTGTCGATCGAGTTCATATAGAGTATGCGAGGTTAATAACTACAGTGGAATCCCGATTTCTCGAACCCTCATTTTTTCGAACCTCCCGATAACTCGAACCAAAAGTCGTTCCCTCTCCTCAGTCGAACACTGTAATTTTACTCCCGATTTCTCGAAATATCCGATTTTTCGAACCGATTTTCGTTTCCCTTGGAGGTTCGAAAAATCGGGTCTCCGCCGTAATTTTGGAATGATAATAGTTTCATTAAACTCGAGAATTGTGAACGTTTTTGTTTTTACTGCGATTTGAGTGCGTTTGTTCAACACATGCTTTCGGGCACTGTGTAGTGTTTTTCGGGCAATAAGGTCGCCNATAAATTTAAAAGCGTCTTGACAAACGGTAATTGTAAGTTATCTTTGGGCCTTGAAAGAAAACACAAACATGAATCATACACACTGCTAAGATTATGTCTTATCAAGTTTTTGTCCGCTCGTATTCCGTGCATATTAGTTGACTACCAAGGGAGAGAACGGCATGGGTGAGGACCTATGTGACTACTGTATCAGAGCCGTGAATTACACTCTGCACTATCTGAGATTGTCTCACTAGTTTTTTGTTTTTGTTTTTTTTTGGCCATTAACCGTTCTCAGTTTTGTTTGTTGCCCCTTTCCTTTCTTATTTTCTCGGTCCTTCTGCTCGGGCTACCTTTTGCGTTGCACGTTCTTTATGGGTGCCGTGAAAAGTTGGATGTTTGGATGTTTTTCCACCAAAACTTATAACGTTTTTCGATTTGCGACGTCGGAATGTTGTCGATATCTAAACCTGACCATTTTACGGAAAGGCCTAGCCTAGTACTACTATCTGGTTATCAAGAATATCTGATGACATTTAAATTGATGATGTCACAAGTGGTACAAAGAGCGCGACCATTAATTACACATTAACAACTTCGGCCGCTTACATAAGTACGCAATAAAGTTGACAACCATTTGGCAGTAAATGGGACTAAG